TTCTGAGAAGCATCATCTCCAGATGGTCGGTTACATTGAAAAGCAATGTAGAAACTATAGTGGAGAGAAAAATGCAGCGGGGTATCCTTCAAGGTGACAGCCTTACTCTGCAGTTGTTCGTTGTGTGCATGGACCCGTTGAGCCGTAGGCTCAATATGAGATTTTGGCGAGAACTTGCTAAAAGTGTACTAAACAGCGAGAACTTTATCAAGGCAGTAAACGAGCACGCCATAGGTATAAAACGAACATATTGGGGTACTCAAATTTGGGGGGTTGGGGAGAAGGGGGGTTACTCAAACATATTGGGGTACTCAAAAAGACTTGAAAGCTATAGACCACGATGTCAGACAACTATTAAATAAAAAAAGAATTGGCAATCAATTTATGTGTAGAGATTCTACTTGCTAACGGATGAGATACGGTATGAGCAGCATAGTGTCAAACAGAGAATTGATAAAGGAAATACAGAACACATATAATTCCGAATGTGATAATTTGGGATAGTATAGTCACAAACATCTACGCGGAAAAGATCATATATTCAATCGACAGTGCTCAAGAAGAGGCTCGAAAAAATTTCGTCCGCTATAGATTATACGGGAATCAAACAACGGAGACCAAAACAACAAAAGTAAGTGCGGGAGGAGTACAGTAGAACGCCAGAACACATCCAGAATCAGTAAAGCGGAGAAGAAATTTAACTTATAATGGAAATACTAATTATATATTGCGAAATTTGAATGACCAACAAAATCATTCAATATTAATAAATTACTTTCGATGGCATCAAAAAAATTCTGAGGATAAGTTTATTATGATTTTTGTAAAGAGTATCACTGACACCAAAAAATAATTATTGATAGTGATTCATTAATAAATAAATAAATAATACTAATATTAATAAATTAATAAATAATAATAAAGCTACTGAATAATATTTAAATGTCATTTCTTTTATGGCAGTACTTTAAGTAATAGGCAGTTAACAATAATGATTAATTATAGTAACTATATGTTTCAACATAAGATAAGAAAGAAACTGCGAAATAAATATTTGAGTGTAAGGAGATGTAAATTTGGAAAACTATGGTACAAAATAATTTGATAGCAACTACTGAAATCATTTGAAGTTGTAGACTTTAAGATGCAGCGATTTTCCAGTTTCAACTGCACAAATATAACAGCAGTCATAAAATTTTCATGTGTCGTAACGTAATACTATCGAATAAAGTGAGTTATTTTGTTTTGATTTCACTTTCAGATCTGTGTAAGAAGTACAAAAGTAAATTTGGTTACGCTTGAGTTCAAAAGTAAAAAATAAAATGCGAATAAATGAAAATTTAAGAGTGCAACATACGCCTGGTTGTTATCTCGAGGTGAAATTGGGATTGTCATACAAATAGATGGTACTGGATTACAGGACGTGCATTTGGCCGATGGTTGCAAGGTTGTCTTGGCAATGTCGTGTGACATAAACTGTCCAAATTGCATGATTAAAGTGTTATACTTGTCATGAAGCACAGTTTGAGAGCTGGATAACAAAATACGTGAGATTTCACGAGGCGTTGGCCGAGTAGAGCGTATTGAAGCTAAAGTGAGATACGTGACACGACACAACTGAAGAAATGCACATAAATTTAATGTTAAGTAATTTCATTTCAACACTAATTGAAGCATATTTTCAAATTGTAATAAAAAGTGCACCATAATAAAAAGTTTGTTTCCATGAATAAGCAATTTTAAAAGCAATATGACAAAACTTACAGACGGGTTCAGAAATACCGTCGTCGTATTCAGCTGGTAAATGCCTTGAAAATCAACACCAATTTATTGAAAATTCATCAAACTTGAACGTTAAATTCTTTACTCATTACAAACCAAAAGATACAAACTTATGAACTGAATTTAATTTTGTCTGTTTAAATATATATTTCATAGCACTGCAATAAGTACATGCTTATGTATTATACCAATATATATTTATATAAACAAATATTGAATTAAAAGTGACACTACAGACTAATGCATTAAAGAACCTGAGAAAGGGTCTAAATGCTGCTCCAAGCAAAGGTTTCTCCAAATTATTACAAACACCATCATATGTACGATACAACAAATGATAACACAAAGATTGTTTGCAGTCAGCTTCAGTCAGCTAAAATATCAATTTGATGTTCACTGATTTGAAACCTGTGATTTGCTATTTAACCCAAAATAAAATTCAACCTGCGGCACACATCCCGTACCCACTGCTTTAGTGATATCATCAATGGATAATAACTTTCGGTGTGACGTATCTTCAGTCGATAAGATTAAATTTTTTTTAGTCATTTGTTGAACTAAATCCGGAACAGATGAGTTTATTGCAGTGCAATCGCCATTATCAATAGAACTAGGCAAATTTCGCCCTAAAACTAATGATAATTAGAGCAGTATGAGTTGCAGAAAATGGTCTTTTAATTATTTATTTGTTAAAAATTTATTCTTATGCCTCACAGATTTTAGATTTCACAACTTTTCAACTGAAACACTATCCTATCCAATAAACAAGCTAGTGATTTAAATATTGTATTGCTTCACTGCAAATTTTAGAAGTTGATTGATGTGATTATTGAAAACTTACTAATCTTGATCGTTATGATTTTATCAATACTTTTTGTAAGCCACGCTTACAGCAGTTTATCGTCAATTGAAAATTTATCTCATAGTTAGAATGTATATCACTGCTGTGACAAAAGTTTTTGTCATCACATATTAAGACTAAATTGCTTTTAATTAAAAGCTTGCTGATAGCACCTTCTTCACTCAATTTTTCGTCTGTATGAGGATTACTAACTTTCACCTTGAACAAGATAGAAATAACTTAAGTAATATACATTCATGCTTGCATTCATTTATTTATTTCATATCATTTTATGATAACTGTGCTTTCATTTGAATTTCTCATATATTTTTTTTTTTGGAAAAACATTAGATTGATATTTTTTATATGATTGATAGCTCAGTAAATTAAAAATAACATAAATGGAGAAATATTTTATTAAAATTAGTACGATTTAAATTTATATTAGCAGCACCAAGCACTGATAACATATTTTACAAATTATTACGACAAAATTTGACGAAATGAATGAGTGACATAAATTTTAGCAACATGCAATTCAGTCTACTCAGTGCTTGTGCAACTGATTTTATTTAGATTCATAGTTGTGCAAATCTTCAAGTCCATTCTTATTTTTTTTCGCTGTACTTTATTTTTACCACGTGTTTACATTCTCACACGCAAAAACGATACATTTTTTAATTTTAAAACAAGTCAAATATAATTTCATCTTAGCAAGATATAAAAAATATTGACTTATGAAGATTATTGTTTAGAATTTCTGATTATTGAATTTTCACTTTATTTTCAGTGTTTTTATTATAATAATCATGAAAATAAAATCGTTGCGTGCACAAAGAAGCAAAAGATTGAATAAATAATAAATGTGATTCTATATTATACTCCTGAAAAAAATCATTGCTTTAATAATTTGAGATAAGATGTTAATCTTTAGCTAATCATGTCTGTCTTATTGAATAAGGTTTGTTCTACCAAAGTCAAACTTTAAGTATAAATTAAGAAAAATAATTCACTCTCGTTGAATTAAATATTCATAAGACGCATTTTCCAAATTCATTTCTGAAGAAAATTATCGTCTGAAAAATCTTGCGTATCAATGAACGATTTAAAATTGAAGGTGCTCATTGTTGAGTCAAGAGTAAACTTTTTGCTTGAAGGAAAATAAGTGATCGGTACTGATGCTTCTTGGAAAGAAAGTATTTACAACTGTTTAAAATCTATGACTTAATATTCTTCCATCTTATGTAACTACTCAATATTCATTTATCGTTTGCAATAACTTTTCTTTCCTTTTTTGTCAGTTTTAATCAAATTTGCCGCAACGATCAGTTAGAAAAAAAAATTCCGCTAACTTGAGAAGTGAAAGTTTAATTCAGACAGACTTTCTAAACTGGAAAATACACGAAAAAAAGACTGAAAACGTTTGAAATGAAAAAAATTGCTGCATCATAACTAAAAATTGGGGTTGAGAAGATAAATTTAAATAAAGCATCGGTGAAGTTATACCAAATAAAAAGAAATTAAAATATGAACAAATGCTTGTTATTAGCACAGTAAATTAGAGTCAGCACAATAAAAGAAGACAAACAAAAGTGGTATTCAGAATTTCTATACAACAGTGAGCACCTTTAGTTTAAAACGATTTAAAATTGAAGGTGCTCATTGTTGAGTCAAGAGTATACGAATATAATAGAAAAAACATTTGTTTTACATACAAATAAGTTTTTATGGCAAATTGAAATTCTTTGAAACAAAAAGCAAAAATAAATCCATCTATTAATGGTGGGTTAGTGCCATTTTTTGCCATCGCAGTTGAAGAATTATCTTAATATTAGTATATCCCGTATATCTTTAGATAAAGAGTTCAGAATAAAGTGATGATTTTTATCTCAATTACCTCTCAACTTTTTCGAAACCTTCAAAAATCAACCATTTTATTTTGTGCTATTCGTTTATGTTTCTTGTATCCGAATATTTACTAAAAATTGAGAATTATCTCTTTAAATACAACAAAGCAACGTAATTTTTTTATTTAAAATTATGGCAACGCTATTAGACGTGGATTTGGCATTTCTAAATTTATTTTGCTAGAATTTCGAATTTATTCAGCTGGAGTAGATGAAGTAACAAGACATAGCTGGAAATGCCTAAGATTTGCATTTTTATTTTCCAAAAGTGATTACTTTCTAATTGTTATAAACAGTAATAAAATCCTACCCACTAACCATTAATTACCTAATTGCAATTTTGCATTGCATTTTTTCGCACACATTTATGTAGATCGACTTGAATAACAGTAAAAATAGAAAGGAAAAAAAAAGAGAAAAAGATCAAAATAAACAATTATATAATAAAGGAATAGCTCAACAATAATGGAACGGCATGAAGAGAAATAATCATATTGGCAAAATTCGCAAGCATTTCCTGATGCTAAGCTCTGCTCTAAAGAAAATGAAAAATCAACAAACAAACATGGCATTTTTATTGGTTTTTTTAATAATTTATGACAGACTTAAGGAATTTAAAGTATTTTATTTGTTTTACTTGATTTCGGTTTCCAGAAATAGCACGTAAAAGTTAAGAACTACAGTTTAAGGCGTAGCTTAAAGTGAAGTATCTCAATTTCATTTTTCATCTCGCATAATTGATAAAGATAGTGAAGCAGTAAACTGATCAAAAAAAAATGTTTAAGTGGAACCGAAAATTATATAAACTTCGAATCATTTCAATTATGAATGAAGATAATTATGAAGTTATTACTAAAGTTCAAGACGCAGTAAAATTTTTAATTTTTGGTTTTCAGTAAATTTTTTGGAATGATTGTGAACGATACATGTGTTAGCACAGTTAATTATAAACACAGATTCAAATCGACCAGATATCATAATCCACAATAAGGGTTGGCATCACTGGTTAAGACAAGTTGTTAGCAGTCGAAACAGAGAAGAAGCGAAAGTATGATTTATTGGCTAATAAACTCGGGGCAGAGATGAAATGTGGAACAAAAATGATTCTGTATGTGATGATGACTTGGGATGAGATAGTGAGAAACTTCCATAAACGTTAGGCGAAGATAATAGTGTATCTAATCACGTCGAGGCATGTATCCAAACGATAGTGCTCAAGAAGATGCTCGAAAACATCTCATTCGATCACAGTCTCGGATTCAACGAAGATGAAGCAGCAGAAAGAAATTACCATAACAAAACATCAAAAGTGCTGCAATGCATCTAGCGTCTGAAGCAATAATGCAGAAAAAGCCTCAGTACAGTACTAATTTGACTTGATAGTGCTAATTATAACTGTTATTATTATTGTTATAATCTTAATTGTTATAATTATATTTGTTATTATTATGAATATCAAAAAGTCTAAATCAATAATTTACTTAAAGCAAAAAGCAATGTTCAATATTTAGATAAATTATTGCAAGATCCTGGTTTCTCACTCAGTCAGTGGAACAGTAATGATTTGTCTAGCATGTGCAAATTTCAATTCCATATAGTTTAATAATTTTGTTTTTATTGCAAAAATTTCGAAAAAATTTAGATTAATCAATTTTATTTGTCGTATTATTCATAGATAAAAATCACTTACATTTGTTGTGGTTTAAATGTTGCTACTACTGATAATGTAAGAATATTATTATTATTATTTATTAGCATTATTGTTGCAGTTATTATTAATGTAATGAATATAGATATGGCTGTAATAATACAGTTATTGCAAAACAGACATTTCATTTAAGATGATTAATGAAGATATGTGGTATGCTGTTAAATTTCATTTTTGCATTAATACACCGTGAAATAAAGAATGCATTTGATGGATAGATGAGCGACAAATTGCTGGAGAGAGTAGCGGAAACGTGTTGTATTTCAAGTAGAATGGGAGGAAGAAAAGAGGATTTAGAAGAATGTTCACTTATGAAACTGGAATTAGTTTTACTTATCGTTGCAATAAAAATTGAAGCAGTAATTTGAATTGCATGGCTAGAATTTTGCAGTCAGAAAAGCTCAGTAATGTAAATGAAGACAAGAAATGATCTTTTATACTTTTATAAGCGACACTTTTTTCTAGCAATATAAATTGAAGTATGAGAAAAATTTTTTTGAATGAAACTATGACTTCTGCAAAATAATTTCTAAATTTAATCGATGAATTAATTAAAACTGGCATGGATCTTAACTTCAACTTCCTATGCAATTTAATTTGAAATTTTTACAGCGCAAAATAGTCATATTCACTAAATTGTCCTTCTCAAAATAAGGGCTTTTTTACACTTGGAAAATTTATGATAAATATATATAACTTATATTTAATACTTTTGTTGCATTTTTTTAGATTTGAAAATGAAAACTAGAGACGATTAATACATATATGAGTTTTGATGAGGAATAATTTTATAAAAGTAGGATGCCATCCAGATAAAACTTAGTTCTAAATATATGTTTATGCCATTTTGGGATCGATTTGATTCAGTATAGAACTTAAATTTACATCTTCAATATAATAATAATTTGACAAACTGTTTCAATATTTGTCATAATTAAGTTATACTTGACAAAATATCAGCCCTTCGTTCGAAGTTTAAGTGACGAAAACATAAAACGGTTACATTTCACAATTTTAGAAAGGTTTACAAAGAAAAAATAAGAAAATTTCAAGTATTTTCTAATATATCGTAACGCATTTTTCAAATCAATTAACACATTAATGCCATTTACAGTAAAAATTTGCCATTCACTAATGGTTGGTAGCTATTTCTGGAATAGTCTTTTTTTAAGAACTAAAAGACTGTGCAATTTTGAAGATTAGCATTTTACTAAATTCAGTTGTAGCTTTTAATTCTGTTAGATCAATCAA